AACAGACACTCAGATACTCACCAACACAGCCCCCCTAATGCAGCACTTAGAGTACCTCCTCTCGGACAGATCCCAGGCAAACTCCCTCTGTTAGCCTCTGCTGTTCGGGTGCAGAGACGTGGTGATGGGCACATTAGAAATAGGGTATTCATAGAATCATAGGCTTTAAGGTCATAAGGGACCATTATGATCATCTAGTCTGACCTCCTGCACAACACAGGCTACAGAATCTCACCCACCCACTCCTGTAACAAACCTGTGTCTGAGCCATTGAAGTCCTCAAATCGTGATTTAAAGACTTCAAGATGCAGAGAATCTTCCAGCAAGTGACCCGTGCCCCATGCTGCAGAGGAAGACGAAAAACCCCCAGGGCCTCTGCCAATCCGCCCTGGAGGAAAATTCCTTCCCAACCCCAAATATGGCGATCAGCTAAACCCTGAGCATGTGGGCAAGACTCACCTGCCAGCACCCAGGAAAGAATTCTCTGTAGTAACTCAGATCTCACCCCATCTAACATCCCATCACAAGCCATTGGGCATATTTACCGCTAATAGTATTGCCGGACAGACAGACAGACAGACAGCCTGTGCTTAGCCCCGCCTCTCCTCCTTATCTCCCTGATCTATTTGGAAAGCCCCATCTCCATCTTCATCTCTTTAGCCCTCTTTGCCGCAGTATCTCATGCTGGCCTGTCCCAAGGGAGGGGCTGTGTCCCAGTGGGTTAGCGTCCGGCTGGAGGCCACCTGGGGTGTACAAAGGAGCTGGGTCCCAGTAGGAGGGAGGCTCTGCTGAATGGTATGAAGTGGGGCAGCATATTTTAGAGGGGTGGTCAGTTACTGGTTGTATTCTGCTCATGCCAGTGAACTTATAGCTGAAGGGGTGACTGGGTCATAGCCATCCCTCTGGGTCAGGGATGAAGTAGGGATGGTGGGACATGACCATAGCTGTCCCTATGGAATCAGGACTGAGCCAGGGGTCACTGGGCCATAGCTGTCTGGCAGGGATTAGCTGGGGGGCGGGGAGGTTGCCATAGGCCATAGCCATCCCACAGGGGAAGGTACAAGCGGTGGGAAAGGTCTTCTCGGTCTCGCTCTTTTGAATATTAAATATCTTTAGCACAGATGTTCTCACTGGCTGGGGGGGCTCCGACCGACTCAGAGTTCGCTACCCATCCATCTTCTCCCCTCTCTCAGTTACAATTAAGCCACTCAGCAGCAGCACACAGAACTCTGCCAGTGCCAGAGAAAAGCTGGGGAGGCAGAAGGAGCCAGGCGGAGCACAGGGGGAAGAACGGAGGCAGTGACAGAAAGACAGAGCCGGGCAGGCAATTCAATTTCCAGAGGCTGTCCCACCAATTCAGCTTAGGCACATGATAAGAAACCCATTTCCAGCGATAGGCGCCCTAATCCCTAGCCTTCTTGCATTTCCATTTCCTGAGAGGAGCTGCCTCCAATGGGGAGTAATTTTCCCATCTAGGTTGCTGGAAGGGATAGCGCTGGATTAAATACTGATTCTCCCAGCATTGTTTAACCCTTTAGGTGCCTGTCTACAACATACTTGCAATAGCCAGTGGAATGCGGGGACAGGCCAGCGTAGCAGGGATGCTGCCTCTCAGAACTGACGAGCAGAGCTCTAGGGAGTCAGAGAACTATCCCAGGGACCAGGGGGGGCTGCAGCCCAGCAGGAGGGTCTGGGGATCAGGACTGAAGGTCATCAGCAGAGTGGGAATGAGGAGGCTCAGGACTGGCATTTATTACGGTCAGCACCCAGAGACCCCTCCCTCCTGGGATCAGTGCCACACTGCACTGGGCACCAGAAAAAGACACAGTATCACTGACCCCAGCATTAAAATAGCATGCATCAGGCTCAAAAAATCATACAATTGGCTTTTAAATCATTAGAGTTATAAGGGTCAGGTGGGCAGTGAGGGGCTGGGGGCTATGATTATGCACTAATGCGCCCTAGCAACGTTCCGGCCAGCCCCCATTATGACACCACTGCCTACTACAGCTCACAACATTATGATGCACATGCCCTTTTTGTTCTGGGGTGCTGTCTGGGCATGGGGCAGGGCGGGAGCACTGGGTGCTGGCATCGGGAAGAGGGGAGGTAGGGAAAGGGGGAGGCAGGCCCCAGTTTACTGTTTTTTTTTCTCCTAATATTTGTTCCAGTATTGACAAGAGGCAGATTGGCGCTGGCATGACAGGAATATGCACACATCCCTAATAAAGAATGCTGCCACCATCACGGACAGAACTCACACCTCCTGGGTCCACTCAGCTCCGGGCAAGCGTGCTGCCCCCGAAGTCTCCAGCAGAGTGGCACTGGAACTGGGGGCTGGCATTAGCCCAGTCCTTCAGCAGTAAGGTACTGCGTATTAGCTCACATAGCTGTATTAAGCACCTCACTGTTGGTTCAGTCACTGCCTCCCCGATCACCTCTCCACGACTTTCCAAAAAAAATTCTCTGCACTCTAGTGAGTGCCCGTGTAGTGAGGCGGCCTGGCTCCCAGTCGCCCCTGGGAGGGACGAGCTCCGCCCCGAGCGTCTACAGCCCCTTACTGCCTGTGGCTGGGCTATGCCCATGCCCATTGCTACAGACTCCTATTTCCCAAGAGCTCCCCAACCTGCCCTTCAGCAACAAGCTCTACCTTCTGTCCCACTTCAATTGAGATTCTGTCGAGTTCAGCATCCCCACCACCTGGGGGAGGGGTCATTCACCCCACTCCTCATTTATTAATGTGCCAGCACCATTGTCTCCCTCCCTTTCCCCAGTAGATCTGTAAGAACACCCACCTCCCCACCCCACCCCCTTCGCCAGCGTGAGCCCAGGCCGTTTTCTTGCTGCCCTCTGTCTTCCCCCCGATGCAGCAGGTTGCCATTTGACCACCTCCCCCTTTTCGTTTCCTAGCACTGGGATTTTTGAGTCACTCCCTCATGCACCCAAGGACTCGGATTCTTGTCCCCAGGCTATTTTTCAGATTAATTGTGTCAGTTGTAGTCATGATTCCTCGCCTCACTGCTGTAGTTTACTAGACCCCATTTCCTTCTCACAGCCTGGAATAGAACCCAGGTGTCCTGGCTCCCATCCACCCCTACCACGAGCCCTCCACCCCCTCTCAGAACTAGGAATGGAACCCAGACAACCTGACTCCCTGTCCCACCTGCTCTAGCTCACTAGCCCTTGCTCCCTCCAGCCACAGCATATTGTGCAGCATCCTGCACGTGGCAGGCACTTGGGGGGCACAAACCCCGGTTTACTGACCCTCACCCTCCCTGCCCCACAGGCCATGGGAACGCGCTGGGTTGGGGGTTTCCCATTATCACTCGAAAACAGGTGTTCTATGCCACTTTATCCAAAGGCCCCAGCTTGCTCCCTAGTCAGACAGACCCAGTCTAGCAGGCCCTGGCTGGCCCCAAGGTTCCTGGGCTCCACCCTCAGCCCTTCACTGCATAAAGGGGAGAAGGAGAGAGGCTGAGGCAGAGGCTCTGCACTCCACAGCTCTCTCCCCTCCCTGCTGGATGTGGCTCCAGCACGGACCACAACTCCCCATTCATCATCTGCTAAACAAATTGAAATTTAAGGGCTTGTGTCTCTAAAACACAGAAAACAATTCCCATTGCATTTTAATGGTGCTGTAATTTATTGGATCAGAAATGATGGATGGCAGCAGGAGAGGGCTGAGCCCACGGAGCAGGGGGAGCACTAATGCAGCAGGAGCCTGCCAAAGATGTGCAGCAGGGGAGGGGACATCAGGCAAGGAGAATGGCATGGCCAGCACCAGGCAGCAAGGCCTGTGCCTCATGCTCTTCCTGCTGCCTCTGCAGCCCTCCAGCTGTGGTCCAGCAGCAGGAGCCCCTGCAGTGAGACTCCTGGGGAGCAGCCTCAGAACTGGAGCCCAGTGCCAGCTGCTCCTGGCCGCCCTCGTGGATGTCAGGCAGCTTCCCTGCTGCCCACGTGAGCGAGGCACAGGAGACAGACACAGTTTGAAAAGAGGAGCAAGAATCCCCCAAGCTGCATCAGCCCTAGAGGGAGCCAGACGAAGGAGCATCTGGCGGAGAGAGCAAGAGAAAGCGAGCACAGCTCCCCTCCCCCAGCCTAATCTCCCTGCTCTAGAGAGCTCGAGCTGCATCGGGCAGTAATTGAAACCAGGCTGTTTAATACAGGTGCCAATTACCATCCCCTAATGTGGGCAGCTCCGATAAATAAAGCAATCAGCGAGCTCTGCTGGGGGAAGCTGTGCGATGAGCACCCCTGAGGGGAGGACACGGTGACAGCAGCAGAGCTAATCACATCGGTGCTGCAGCACCTGCCCCAGCAGTCTGCAGCTCTGCCAGCCCGAGGGCTCTGACCCTACGGGGCGGGGGAAGTGACAGCACCGCCAGCTCTCTGTACTGACAGGCAGGCGAGTCTGGCCCCACTGCAAGGCACAGACTGGCCAGCATCTCCCACATTCCCATCAGTTACATGCACCCCAGCACAGCTCACCCTGCCCCCTCTGCTCCTCCAGCAGCCCAAGGGCTCTCACTGCCCCTGCCACACCTGCTGTGGGGTAGGGAGTGACTGACCCCTATCATAGAATATTAGGGT